TCGCATAGTCTGAGCTTGTAGAACTCGGCTTCCTCCTTAGCGGGTGCCGTAGCCCATAGCAGCGACCCAAAGGTGCCGATGAGTGTAAAGTTAACTTTAGAAGCAAAGTACCAGAAACCCTGCAGATGCTCCGGCTTCAGACGGTTCACAAAGTCCATAGCAGATATCAGCCGCGTCTTCGCGGCGTTGCGGCACATGAAGAGACCGTAAGAGTCGGGGTTGGTGGAGTCGAGCGACTGTACTATGCGTCTGTGCAGCGTAATCTCCGTCGCGAAGTACGCGAGATGCAGATAGCCCGTAGAGGTGAGCTTGCCCTTCTCGGGAACGTTCATCTTGACCTCTGCGGGCAGCTTCTCGTGCCATTGACGAAGCTTGATCTGTACGGGCTTGGCTCGTGCGAGGATCAACTCGGTCGACTTTCTCCCCGCATTGGCAAAGTCGTGGATCGCCGTTTGGGTGTAAAATGTGTCCATGACCTCCGCCATGATCTGCGTGAGCCCAATCATCTGGGCAAACAGTATCCGGCCTCGGTGGCTCTCTACCTGCTCCTCTTCAGATTCTTCCTGGCGCGTCTCGTAGCCATCTCCTTCTTCAACAAAATCGTCTTCTGTAATCGGCTTCACCGCCCAGTTGGCATTGAAGATGTGCGATGGCCGGCCGTGGATGAGTGAGCTCCACTTGTCTTGCATGTACAACGCCCATGCGATGCGCTTCCTCAAGCCACGCTCCCAGAGAGGAACTGACCATGATGAGCAGTCGAGATGCAGGCCTAGTTCTTGACCAATGGCCACCAGCTGTGTTGTCAAGCTCCAAGAGTCCGCTTCAGGACGTTGCAGCAACAACAAGCCAGCCTGTATCGTCGACAGTTTAGGTCGCTCCATAGCCAGTGTGAGCGCCTTCATGGCAATCGCTTCTAGCCGCGCTGCATCAGGTCGGGAGTAGTTTGCTAGCTTGGGGTCGAGAGACCACCAGTTGAGCGCCAGGATGTACATGCCAGCCAACAAGGCTGGCGAAAAACCCCGATCGCCTCTGCGATACCGCTCGACAAACAGATGTTTCTGGATGATAGGGTAGTTTGGATGTACTACTTGGAAGTAAAGATCTAGTAAAGCAGGACCATGTGGGTGCACAAGCTGCTCGACCTGACCTAACGCCTCAGACTCGCCGGCGAAGTCTTGTGTATTCTCGTCAGGTAGCATAATGAAACATTCATGATCGTTCACACGTCGAAGCGTACCAAGGTCGAAGGTCGACTCGTTACGGGTGTCGAACTGTGATAAGCCAATGAGCAGCGAATCGAATGGAGAACTCAGACCGATGTATCTGCTATGTTGGCGTCGTTGCAGCCCTAATGTCTCTCCGAACTGAGGCAAATGAAGGCTCGCTATTTGAGATAATGAGGGCTGCGGTGGTGGTGGACTTGGCGCGGTTGCTGTGATGGTGGGTGTTGACAGTGCTAGTGGCGGAGGATCTGAGTCGACGGATCTGCCAGAGGATGTCAGCACGACATCCAGCTATACGCCGACGAGCCAGAACGCCTGGCGAGGGCCACAGCTCCCGGTGCCACGACCACATGCGGGATAAAAAAGCAAGTAGTGTTGCACATGCGCACGTGACCTGGTAGCGTGACGCAAGAGGCATAGCAGATGTCGGAAGTGATATATCTACGCGAGCCGTGGACGTGAAGCAGTAGCGGGGTGGCCTAAACATACCTCTTCTTGGTGTTGTTTGGCGAGTCCTTCTTCTCACCGTCGACGACTTTCCTCTTCCGCGGCAGTGGGCTTTGTACAAAGGTACACTCCTGCTTGTGGAACTCGCACAGGACACACAAAGCAGCGCCCTCGTGTATCACACAGCGGCTCTTCCTCCTTCGGCACGCGTCACAAGGGCGTTCCCTCCGTGAGCGGATGTTAGATACTGGACCGTTGTTGGACGTGGGCTTGCTCAAGCTCTCCTTGCTGGATGGTGACTTCTGTATCGTGCGAGGACGAGCTGGTGCTATAGAGACAACAGGACGTGGGCCCATAGCCGGCTGCTGCATTGCTACGGCCGTCATGGCTAGCTGGCGTGGTGGAAGGGTGCGATAAGGCTATGATAGACTACGGCCCGTTGGCTAGTTTCCGAATCAGGGTGCAAGTATCTCGCTATCGGAAGCAGGGTTCGTGACAGGTCTTATCGCGTGGGAGATAGGTAGTTCAATCGGTATATGGGAGATATCCCGGAAATGCAAATCCAGTTGGGTAATCCAATGGAGAGTCAGACGAGTCCTACTTAGGGCCCTAGGTTGCCGGTAACGGCGGCGAGGAGTATGAGGTGACTGATGGTTCGCGCCGTCATTGAAGGTCTACGAAAGAAGTAGAGGATGGGCGGAGGCGGGCGGGATGGCGGGATCAGCCTGGCCTTGGAGCTTGGAGACCTAGAACCCTGTGTGGGGAGAAAGCAGGCGCATAATCGGGGGTGGCAGTCGTATATACTGGAGTGTCGCTGGAGAGCGCGCTGCGAGAGTCTTTTGTGGCAGACATGTGCTCGGGATGGGTTTCAAGATGCAGGGTGCACGGATGTTGCTTGGAGGTAAGCTGGATGGGCTCTAGCGGCTTCCTGCATTCTATCTTACGTACAGCCGAGAGATAAGGACTTTGCGGTGGGCCAATGGCTGCCGTGCATGGCTTCCCCCACCTGAATAATGTGATCTTTCCATTACTCCAGCTCTTGCTTATCTGTGCGTCTGTACTACACAGGATCCAGTTTAACTGTCTCGAGGAATTACTCTTATGTACTCGTTACCATACTCCATAGTTTTAGTATTGGCGCATGCACGTCACCCACGGCTACGCATCATTATCGCTCGCCTAGCACTGGTAAACAGTTGACGACCGTTTGAGGGACCTTGCAGCTGACAGTTGCACCGCTGAATTTTCTTGTTCGCAGCCTCGACAGCACATGGCACGACGTGATGGATCCGACATTTTGCCACGTTCCGAGGTTTTCACGAGCCGCCTCATCGTGAGGCAGCTCGACCGACCATGCCAGTATCCATGGTAATGGTATGAACGGCCTCCGCACGTGTCGCGTGTTCTCCACAAGCCCTACTGCCATACTTAGCATAGGACCCCTCGATAGCGATCTCCGCTCCGCTCTGCCCCTGGTCTCGTTTCTCACCGCTCGCACTTCAGGCAAAACGCTTTCCGCTCCGACCACCGGCAGTGCGCAGGACCCGAATATCTCCGCCAATCCTAGTCAGCGAGTTGCATCTTGCCGTTGCATCTTGCCGTTGATGTCATAGCACTTTTCGCCGTTGACGCGATTCAGGGAGGCTCGGTGAAGAACCGCGGCGCCGCCAAACCTCCCAAGACCGAAGAAGGCTGGAAAATCGGATGCGATCTACGCCAGTGTACGTAAAACGCAGGCTTAGCCTCGCACTGCCAGCGACCTCAGACTTGGGTTGCGATGCTGCGGGATGACAGATGGATACCCAGCTGCACGCTCAGTACTTCCACATTCGTCCTCGCTTAAACTACCGTTTAATCTCTCAACAACGGAACGATATATCCTCCTCCGAGTACTGGAGGTCGTTGTTGAAAGGCCCGTAAAGAAAGTCAGATCCCAATATTCCCCTCATCGCCCGCTTGATGCGACTGGCCTAAGTACCGGAATGAAATCCGTCCGCTCAACCGCGTGTAGATTTGAAAGACCATGGGTTCGTGGTTGACATTACGAGATCTTTAAGCGCAGATCCGCATGTGAGAGACTAGAGGGTGTGGATTCTGCCCAGGCTGATGACATCTCAGGGAAAGTCGGGCCGCTTTTCTCCGGAGTGTGAATCATCCACTCCGTCGTCACGACTACATATTGCGCCCTCTGAAGAGTCAGTCTAACCATTTTTCGCGCACTTCCACTGGATGTATGCGAGAGTCCTTGACTCGGTAGTCCAAAAACCTGCCTCGTAGACGTTGGGATTCTTACGTCGTGTCTGCTTGAGCATATAAAAGGAGCCAGGTATACCTTGACAATGCCCAAGTAACAAAGTGCCAACACATCGTAGACGAAGCCTAAGCCCACAACATCAATCTTTAGCCACCGCTGCAGGAATACGTGTAGGATGACGAACCCTCAATTTGTCGTGAATCTACAGTCAGCATCTCCTTGCCACTAGCTTACTCTTGAGACCGGCAATATATCGTAACCTTGGATTCGGGCTGATTGATCTTCAAGATCTACTCATAGGTTGAACTTCCTCAGATTCTAGATTGATATGGCGGTAAAACCCTGGTTCTAGATGGCCGCAATGGACACTATCTAGCACGGAGCGACAACGAGCATGTTGCTCCCGCGTCCGAAGAAAGCACCGGGGGCTATGGAGGCGTTGCCATGGTGCTTGATGTTGGCCTGTCCGCATATGTTCGCTGTTGGGGTTGACTCAAGATTCTCTTCCCCATCATGTAAACACAAGCAAATAGGTCAAGAAAAACTTACGCAGGGACCGAGATTGACATGTGGGTATACCAGAAAGCGAGGAGGGTGTGGAACACGCTAGATTCGGTCCGTATGAGTATGCATACGTCAAGTTGCGCTCTCCGTGGCACTCTGGTGCAAAATGGTCATTTCAACAAGTATCAAATTTGGACCAGGTGAAGGAGCTATGGATCTATCATAAATCCTCATAGCAATTAACAACCATATACCTAATCCATATTCTCTTGCCCAATGTCCAGTACTCCTTGCACCTCCTGCCTCGGCCATATGTACAATTGTGGGCTTCGGGTACCCTATCATAATGGATATAGAGACGCGCTTTCGACCCGGTCGTAAACCTACAACCCCAGCGCATCGATCATACCACCGTAATCATATCGTCGTTATGTTTAACGCGCCTCGCTGGAAATGGATAAAGAAGGTATCGCGAATAGGCCGTCTCGTGTGCCATAGTGGTGTGCGCAGCTGTTGCGCGTGTTCGGTCAATGTGGAGTAGACCTCTGGCTGCGCCGTGGTTCGATATTGGATCAGTGCATGGGCGGCTGGTAGTTGATCGGTCGCCTGTTGGAGGATTAGCTTGCAGCACGCGGTGTATGCACTGACACAACGTACTTGAAAAGCAAAATGTGAGGTTCTGGCTCATGGACCTCGTAGTGCTCCCATCCCAAACTCTGTTCCCAAGTCAGCATATATGTTGCAGCCTGTATCAAAACCACGCGTACCTGTGTGATGCCCAGCGCCCGCCATTCCTCCTCCCACAGCAGCTTCAGTGTGCCTCGCGCGCCGTCGAAGTAGTCTTTTGGGATAGCCTTCAGCATTTGCTTAGGCAGCTGCACATGGCGGTATTCGTATGCGTCGTCCGAGTATCTGTGTTCGCGGTCAATAAAGAAAACGCGCTGACCGCCTCTTGTGTTGACAACCCACCTCGCCGAGTAATGGATCGCGTCGACAAATTCATCCAGCTTTTCCTTCTCGTGGTCCGAAAGCGGCCGCGGCTTCTTGTTTCGGCGCGTGAAGTCGATATCCAATTCGCCCGACATGGTGCGCGTAGGGTGGTGTGAGGAGCTCGTGTGCTCCGAGGTCGTCAGTGGGGTGTCGGCGGGTGGTAGAAGCGAGCGGGGCGGGCAGCTGCTTTGGGGGGAAGTCGCAGTCGTGGATGGGAGAAGGAGCGCTTAGATGCAGGATCTCGTGTTCAGGCGCGTCGGGCGTGTGATTATCGAGCGAGAGAAAGAATAGTTCAAGTAAATGAACCCAAACAGCTCTTGTTTACCCAGTCGTGAAATTTGGTCGATTGTCCAAGCTTCTACGCTAACTCGGCTGCAGCCTAGCGTAACCGTCTTACCACGTTCTTACCGCTGGCCAACGTCTTTCACCCCTGCATCTGCATCTCCGCTGATCGACGTGCAGTCGAGTTTCGATGCAGACCACTCTAATGCGAGCTTACGTACGCTTTCTGTCTACGGTCACCGTTGTCTCTGTTCTTCTTTATCCTCAGACATCTCCGGACATCAAGACCGCCTCACTATTTCACCACAGCAACCAGCCACACCGCATTCAAGGAAAACTTTAAACACCATAGAACCTACATCAAGATAAAAACTTGTAAAATAGGCGACCCAACATCAATGTAGGCTCCAGGCCTGTTCAGCTTTAACTTTGTGTGAGCTGGTCACAAATCTTATCTTGTACTAATTACATGCGGATCGTTGATGAAGCAGCATACATGTCTGGAGGAGCCATGTCTTCCGCCTTGCAGTCCTTTCTTGAATCGCATACTGTCCACTACCCTAAACCACAAACAGACGCCCCAAGAACAGGCAAATACATGTAGCGTACGCGTACGCTTACACTTGCTCGTACTTGACAACCGCTGCTCGACGGGCGCATCATCGGTTATCAATTTCAACGGTCTTGCCGCTATCGATATCACTCCGGACACACTGGCAACGGTTTCTCCCTGTTACCTCTACGCACCCTATTTTCCCGCTCAAATAGCTTCTCCAGCACCTCGCGCTCCGCACAGCCTTGCAACCACGGAGTCTTCATATCCAAGTTCGGCCGCCAAAGCACACCCACGAACTGTACACTGGCTTCTTCGTTGGACCACTTCCTAATGGAAGCCGTGTGCAGTCGCTTCAACCCCACATTCCACGCTCTTTCGTTGAGTTTACTGCGGTATAACACATCCTCCAAGACCGCGTCTTCTTCCTCCATCTGCTTCGTCTCCTGTCTGGCGCGTTTCAGGTACCGTGTCAAGAGGGTGATTGGGACTGCAAGACCGATGATACCAGCGAGGACAACCGCGAAGATGGCGCCAATAGGACGTGTGTCTTCTGGAGTTGCATCCCTATACGTGGCAGGGTGTATGAATTGAGCCAACGACGAATGTTGTATATGTTGAGAGTGCTTTGTTGAGGTGAGGTGCGTAGTCATTGGTATGTCGACAATCAGCGAGTTCGCGTGACCACTCTCTCCGGAACCAACGTCCGCATTGAGAACCTCCGAGGCCTTGCCGTAGAGGCTTTCCTGCATACCAGGGTACGGATGCGTGTCGACATCAATATGGTCTCCTCCAATGTTCGCCATGATACTCATTTTCAGATTCCGTCGATGTCGAGAGTGTCTGAAATCCTAAGGTTTCATAGATCGAAGGTACTGTGTTTGCTTGCTGGTCTATGGAGCTCAGCGTATGATTTGTACGATCCGGACTCGGGTAAAGGGGGAAACACAGAGCTATGCACCAGTCTTCGCCGTCATACAACGCCTATAATGTCACTGGCTATAGGTAGGATATGACAACAGTGCTACCAGCAGACAGGATTTACTTGTGTTCACACCAATCCTACAGTCCAGCCTGAGCTACCATGGAGTTGACAGGACGCGTACCAGCTGTCATGGCTACCCTTGCGGACAGAAGTCCTACTGTGCGCTCCCGAACTAAGATGACAAGCCCCGTCAGCATGCAAGCGGCTTTATACCACAGTCGCGCGATGAATACAGGCGCAGCTAGGAAGGTACTTTGGATCAGTCGCACGATAACTCCACGTGCCAACGTTCCTTCAACTGTGCCAGTATCTCCCAGATGCTGACATGAGATAGTGAGAGATACATTGCTCGACACTGTCTTTATTACAATTACCACTAGATGCCTCCATCAACCCCTTCATCCAGTCTCTCATTCCGTCCGATACTCCCTACACACGATCCCATCCTTATCCGTCCTTTCAATAACTCTGGATCTCTTCGGCACAGCACCATTATCCCCCTTCCCATCCCTCCACTCCCACCTCAACTGTTTCTTCGGCCTAACCACGACCGCCTGTGTCATCTCCGACTTCTTCTCCCCCAAGTCCCCATGAACCACATTAATGCCTTCATCAGTAACGCCGCGTTCCAACCACTCGCTCGCTCTGTCATCACTTGCGCTCGTCTTGATCTCGGGGAGTAGTTCGATTGATGGTGATGGCGGTACGGACGAGTAGCGTTGCTGTAGGTCTTCGTAGTGCTCCTGTTGTATTTGTTGCCGCGAAAGGCGATGCGATAGGCGGGACTCTCGACCGGATTCGAGATCGAGTAGAGCGGGCTCTTGGGCTGGTTGTTGACTGGCCTTTTGTTTGTGTCGGTTGATGAGGCGGATGACGAGGCAAACCAACATCAGGATGAGGATTGTAGATGTCAGAACGATAAGGGCAAGGAAGAGGTCCGTTAGAAAGCTCGTATCGGCCATGTTAAACGTGCTCATGGCGAAAATGTCAATTTGCACCGACTTCTGCAGCAGGATAGAATGGAGAGAGTTGCAGATGTTGTGGCGCCTGCTGCGAGAGGTATACTGCAGTACTTAAGCCTGTCAGGTGCAGCATGAGACGTAGACACTCATCTACGTGGTAGTAAGAGAGCTCTTTATCAGGTAACCGGACCAGTAAAAGGATTCTGTATCCATGCAGGAGCTCAACTGTACGAGGGTCCGGATAATTTGCTTCGTGGTCGTGTTCTGTTGTGCAAAGTGGTACATACTATGGGAGAGAGAACTTGCACGACTCTTCATCAACTCGAGGGACAACATAGCCTGTTTGAAGGGCGAGGCCTTGCCATGACACGCACAAGACAACGCTCAGATCAGATCCGGGATGACAGCTCTTTGGTTGACCTAATGGGTATGTACAAACCTGTAACTTAAGCCGCCTGATCCAACGCGCCCGTGTAGTCATATACAAGCCTAACCCTAACCACCTCATCACTCCCCACCTTCCTAACCACAAACTTCCTCGTCAGCTTCCTCTCACCCCCAATATCCGCGAAGCCCCAAATCTGCCACGCAGTCCATTTGTTCGCCTCGTTTTCCACAAAGCTCTCGACAACATCTCCCTCTTCCGTCTCCTTCAGCCAGCCTTCAGCCACAAACTTTGCATCTTCCTCGCTCACACCTGCAGCCTTTCCTTCTTCGACTGCCTTGGCTAAGGTAATGTAGCGCGACCGTCCCTTGACGGTGCCGAAGAGCCGGTCGACGTGCTCGCGGTAGTGCCAGTCTAGGATGCGGGTCTCGGTGGAGCCTTTGATGCCGCCGGTGATGAGTTGGTCGATTTTGATCTCTGTCGTTGGCGTGTTGTCTTCGCCGTCTATGGTGGTTTGGTAGAGGTGTTGGGTTACGGTTGCTGCGCCGAGGGCTTTGCGCGTCAGCCAGCCCATGCCCTGCAGGGCGAGGACGGCGTCGAATGCATCCGAGAGGGACTTGTTCTATCATGCGTTAGAGTGATGTTGCGATGCACGAAATGATGAAGGTATGCAGAGAACAATATGACTTGAAAGCTGCTCGAAACTTACCATGACCCATTTCCCCTCGAGCTTCTTGATATCCGCACTTGCTGGAGCTGCCATATTGCCTAGTATGTTTGTTGGTAGGACTGTAGTTTGGTACGATCCGACTTCGTCGTGAGAAGAGCTTCGAAAGCTATCGCGGGGCTATGGTGATTGGTAGCGGTGGGTACCGTCCTAGTTGGGGCGGCCATGTGCAGTGCATCTTATATGCCGGTCGCCCAAGCACCAAGCCTATCCAGAGACGCCGTGTGGATTAGCACCTGCCTTAGTCGACAATCGCACACTGTCACGTTCGTACCTGAGCGAACATCATGCGTGGCGTCGTGGGAAGGGATGCCGAGGTTCGTCTGCTTTGGGATAGCACCTCCGCGGGGAACCCTGGTCTTCCATCTCATTTGCGCTCGCATCAACTCTCTCCATTCTCCGGAGTCCACAACCACCGACGGCACACCTCCAGCTTGGGACGGGTCGCATGTGAAGACTGCTCGGGAGAAGGCTTCCTGGACGCGTAACTTCCCGTCTACGGATGGATGGGGCCAGTCAGAAGCGCATGATATTGAACGCAAAGCGCTGACACGCGATGAGGTGGTTTTTAGCTGCATCTTCTCACAATCTCCGATTCCCTACTCGTCCTACTATGCGCCTTTCCTCGATCAGTCTCTATTTCCCCCCTTGTGGAATTGAGCTTGATGCAGCCCAAACGAGGAGCAGACAGAAGACATGACCAGAAAGCCGAAAGATGGCTCCAAAGTGACACGATGTTGCCGCCGGCAAATGGCTCAAAAATGGCCGAGTCTCTTGTAAACCTTCCATCGCGCGCATGTGCGCCAACACTTGGACTTCACTCACTGGAGAAACTTCTGCCACTCCGCAAGAACTATTCTAAGAACAGTGCCCTCGCCGTACCTTATTCTCATGAGTACTCGTCAGGCGTCGCACGTTTCGGTTCGTGAAATGTTCCGAAACAACGAGCATGTTTCAATGGCCGCCGACATGGTGAGGCTTAGCGCGCAAGCAACGTCAGAACTTGCAACAACCGACGGCACAGGGGGGCGAGTATCATTAGAGAGTTCGCATCTGAGGTAAGGCTGCGACACGGAACGTATGTTGCTGGGGTTGGTCGATGCCTCAGATGTCATGTCCAAACTACCCAGTCGCTCGGTAATTTTCCCCTCAGCTTCAAATCTGGTTCGCGGATTGCTTTTGTTTACCAGGCATCTCAACACTTGCTTTGATCATCTCTCTTTCGAGTGCGCTGGAACTCGCATCTCGCATCTTCTTCTTCGTTTTTCATACCCGCGTCTTCGTCAGAAGGTCACTTAATTTTCTTGTGGCACAGTCACACAGAGTCTTATCAAACTTCTCGTCACTTGGTCACTCATTGGACGTACACACGGCTTCGCGCAGCACCATCATCGTATTGCCCCATTTCAAACGGTTACAAGCGCAGTGAAAGACAATTTTGCATGTTCCAATCGGTCTTGCGATCTCAAACTTTCGCCAGCAAAGCGCCATACAACTGTTCTTACTTCTACGGCGGCTCAGGAAGCCCGGGTACATAACGACTTGACCGAACAGTTCCCAACGATACTTTCTTTTTCTCAACGTCCCAAACGGTCAAACTGAACAGAGGGACCGAGCACTCTTTCCCCGCCCGATTCGACGTCATATCGCGCAAAAAGCTCGCAGTCGTGCATCGCAGTGACTCCACTGCACGCGTTTGTTTGTCAACAACAACCTACTATATTCACGACACTCGCTCTCGCTGGAAATCCACGCTCGTTCATTATCCTTCCAAATAAAAATCAATCACCCCACATTCTTTTACCCGCCACGCGAACACCACGCCAACCCATCTGAACATCATATCAATCACCCCCAAACCGCGCACCTCCACACAGCAATGAAGTCCATCTCCATCCTCATGGCTTTCGCCTCTACCGGCGCCTTCGCATCAGCAATCCAATTCCCCAACCTCCAAGACCGCGCCATCGATCCCGCAACCATGAACCCAACACTCCTCTCGGTCTTATCAGTGCTCAAAACAGCTATGCCCACGGGCCCCAACGCCCCCATGCCAACAGGCGATCTGGAGCCAAATTGGTACCAGAAATTACCCGGAGATGTCAAGAGTCTGTTACCGGAGCTGTATCCCGTTGCTGCGGCTGCGACGTCGGAAGCGGGCGCCGGTGTTGTGAGTCAGACGCAGAGTACGGATACGGTGGTGGTGAGTGCTTCCTCCTCTGCCTCATCATCTTTGTCGTCGCTATCCGTGTCTTCCTCTGTAAGCGCATCTGCGTCTGCGTATATATCCGCGTCGTCGTCTCCCAACGCCAGCGATACTTATCTTACGACGTCGATGTCAACATCGCAGACCACACTTACTAAGACATCGCAGTCGGCGTCAACAATCACCGATGTAGTGTCGCCTTCGTCGTCTGAAATATCCTCAGAGAGCGCCTCACCCACAGCGTCTTCTGCAACTTCAGCCAGCGCTTCAGCTACGCCATCGAACTCACCGTCTACTGGCAACAGATTCGCGGTCAGGACGGAGACACTGGCCGCAATCGCCATGTTCAGTGTTGGAGCTGGATTTTGCATCTTCGCATAGCCTGTTACGACTACGCTACTGAACGTTGATGAGACTACGCTGCGATCGGTCCGCATTTCTTCTTCATCTTTTCACGGGTATCTTCTGGAGTTGTGTGTGTGGTAAAAAAGCGGAGTATTTCTGGATATTGGGCGGACTGGGCGCGACCGCATGACGAGATGATGGCTTCCGTGCGCTGAGCGCTATACGACGAGCTTTGAGCGGGAGTACAACGTGTGCTTTCGCATGTTTATTCTTTGTATATCCTTTTCGAGATATCCCCACACGATACGATACGAATGTAATGTAGCTTTCTGTTTGATCCTGTAAATAAAGACGCTACTATGAGTGCTACTGTTCCATCAAATACGTCTCTCCATGTCCCGCACGCAGTATGCTTTACAGAGACACAACCCCCATGACAGCACCGTTACTCCCTCAGAGACAAAGCACCCCCGCAACTCTAACCCCCAAATCCAACACAGCAAGATGTTCATCCCCACCATCCACAAGCCTCTTATCCGTCTCACTGAACACACCCGCCAGCCTAACCTTCTTGACATCCTCAACCCTCTCATCATACATGATCTGTTCATACAACTGACCCACAGTCTGCGACGCACTCCACCCCTCTGCAATCATGTTCTCCACTACCTTGGCAATCTCGTTGTAGCGTATCGACTTGGTAGCCGAGGACTTGGGGAAGAGGGAGTCGCTGAAGGAGGATAGTGTAGCTGGCGGTAGCACACCCGCGATCTCAGCGATGATAGGGAGGGAAACAGCAGGTGTCTGAGCTGGCGTCGCCGCAGAATCGATATCCATCTCGTCCTCCTCAGCAACGACCTTCTTCTTCTTTTTGCCTCCCGCACCCTGAGCCTGGACGACAGCCCCCACGAGCCTCGCCGCGGATTGCAAAAACGTAATCGCCTTTCTCAGATCGCCATCTGCGACCCGCACTAACTCCTCCGCAACCCCTTCTTCCAACTGCACATTCTCCAGCCTCGCGATATCGCCAACGCGCTTAACCGCATTTCCTTGATCCAGACTCTTGAACCTGAACTTCGAACACCTCGACGCGAGTGGATCGATAATACGGGTAACGTAATTACACACGAGACAGAACCTCGTCATGCGACTGTAAGTTTCCATAGTCCTACGCAGCGCACTCTGCGCATCCTGCGTCATACTATCCGCCTCATCCAGCACGATGATTTTGAACGGCGGACACGGGTATTTATCTCTGTACCGCACTGTCTTTGTCTCGCCGCTGCTCGCGTCTTCCGTCATGACGTTGTAGGTGGGCGCTACGCTGAGTTGCTGGCGCGCAAAGTCCTTGACTTTTTGGCGTACGATGCTGATGCCGCGTTCATCTGAGGCGTTCAGTTCGAGGACGCGCGATTTCATGAGTTCGGGGCCGTAGAGTTCTTTGGCAAGGGCAAGGATTGTGGAGGTTTTTCCTGTGCCTGGCGGGCCGTAGAAGAGCATGTGCGGCAGGTTGGAGGATTGCATGGTGCGGGACAGGATTTGGATCGTGTTGTCTTGGGCTGTTACTTCGGAGAGGGTTTTGGGGCGGCTGTGATGCTGTTAGTGAGGGTGCGGAATGGTGTGCTTGGGTGTTGCGTTCGTACTATTTCTCAACCCATGGTTGCATGCGATTGGGCTCTTGCTTCGTGGTAGGCGCTTTTGATGAGCTGGCCTTTACAGCGGCTTGTTGCCTCGCTTTTACGTTGAAGAAGTCGGCCATTGTGGTGATTGTGTGGAGATTGAGGTGTTTGGGGTTGGGGTTGAGCTGGACTGCTAAAGTGCGACGCGTCGACGCGAGACCGCGAACTCACGTTTCTGCACAGACCAGGTCTTCTTTCTCTAACCACATCATCATCGCGGCATGTAAAACAGTTCGCCATTCCTCAATCATGCTCGAAGATTCAGATACCGTATAAAGTTTCCACAACACACGTCTATATTAACAATTCAGATAAGTTGAGCGATTCACATAGAGCAATCGGTGATTTCGGACATGTCTCACGGCAGAAGATGTCAACAACACAGTTCAACGGTCATATTGCACATCTTGGTTCTTCTCGACCGATCACCAGATGTTAGAAATCTGCGACGACGCCAGACAATGCATGCACCTCCGCTCATACCAAGCTCCTCAACTCCACCAGTATGCCCACCACAGCCAGACTTCATGCGCGTTTCCATTGTCGCTCGGATTACAGACCTATGGTGTCAGAGGTCGCGCCCCAGGAGTGTGACTAGCCTAGACTAATCTACTTCCCAAGCTTAACCCCCTTTACCCTCTTAGCCAACTGTACTGAATCGGAATCTGAGCCATAGGAGGACTGTCGCATCGTACCGCGGGTGTGGTCTAAGGCTGCAGCCCCCCTACTGGCCGACTTGGATTGGGGCGAAGATTGATAGGAACGTTTCGGGGGGCGCTCACCACTTTCTTTGAGAATGGTCAGAAGGGTTGCCCAGCCTCCGGTATGTTGGAGCGCTGAGCCTTCTGAGGTGTCGTGCGTTGATGCTACCTTGAAGAGCAATGACTCTTCGTCCTAGTCGTACAGTTAGCAAAATATCCATGCAGTTTTGCAGTGACGCACCTTTGACAGAATGCCGAGGTTATGAATAAAGCATAGCATGTGGAAATTCGAAATGGCATTGAGGCCGCTGGTCGTGTTGAGCGCCAGCCCGTTGGCTCTGGCGTTGAGAGCTTTGCCAAGATGTGAGATCTCTGGCATCTCGCCCATAGCCTCGCGGTTCTCGATCGGGAACTTGCCACCAGTGAAGAGAGGATTTGGCTGAGTAGGGAATCCGTGTGTTAGTGTGAGAAGCAGATATTCCACGGGGAAGTCGGGTTTGGCAATCTCTTGTACGTTCGCACCGTGCTCGTTAATCCTCCGGTAGAAAACCTCGGGGATGTATCGCGCGCGGTTCAAAGCTTCGTTGTCTTCCTCCGATTGGACGAGCATCACCGATGGCTCAGCTGAGGGCTCGATGATGTCGGCACGAACCATCTCAACGGCGTCGTTCGAAACCTGGTATGAGGAGATCCCAATTTGACCTTGGTCATCACCGCTGATTACACACGTAACAAAGTTGGAGCCGTGTCGTCCAGTGTCGCTCCATTTGGAAGGCCGGGGGTATCTTGCTTGGTACCGTGCTGCGAAGCAGATTTCTAGGGAGGAAAGGTAGTATGAGTCCATGTGTCGCTTGCAGATGACAGAGCCGTCGCCCTTGTCTGCGTCGAGGAGATCGGTAAAGATCACCCCCACGCGTTGCAGCCCACACTGTGCAGCGATCTCGTCAATCTCCTTCTCGTTTTCCCATTCGCCTAGCGAGATGCCGTCCGCCTCGTTGACTTGCGGTGGCTCGTAGATGGTCTCGACAACAGCCTTTGTCCCCAGCGGCACCTCAGTATACTCCTCATACCTGCCGTACAAGAAGCCCAGTCGCTGACAGCCCGTTTGTCTCCAGAAGTTGATCACATCGTCCACCACCTGTATCGAGGCGAACTCGACGTGATCTACCATGCGGTACTCTTGTGGCTTCAGCGAGATGGCGCTAGGCATGCACTTGGTGCAGATACCCTCTGGGAACGGCTTGTGTCCCGATGGACAGTCGGGGCGTACGCGGTAGTAGGGTTCGGTCAGCGGTGGCATGTACGAGCTACCGAGCTCCGGCCTGTTCTTCGCCGAGTTGACTTTGCGGAGGTATGAATGGAAGGAGAGGTGCTTGATCTTCTTCTCGGCGAGGTATGCGGGCGAGTAGGGTTCGAGGGGCATACAGTAGTCGCACATGCCCTTGGGCCCGTGGGAACACATGCGGGCGTCGCGTTTCCTGGGGATTTTGCCATCCTGTCTATCCAGCCTGTCGTCGAGCGGGGACTGCCTGACAACCTCCCATGGGTTCTTTATAGTTTGCAAAGCATCGCCGATGGGGACGGAGCCCATGTTCATCTCTTCGACGGGTTTGCCATTCAGTCGTGCGCCGCCGGTCGAAGGTGCAGCATGGCCGTTCGGTGCCGCAGACTGCTCCTCAAAGGACAGGAAGAGTTGCGCGCCGTTTCTACGGTATCATTAGCTGTGAAGACGAGCTTGGGTAAGCTACATACGATAGTCCCACTTGCTTGAAGCTTACGCCCTCAAGGCCAGCAAGCTTCCTCGCGTCGCCTCCCTGCGGCTTGTTGCTAACACTGATGCTCTGGATGTCGACATTCTTGGGCAGCTTCTCGGCAACCTGGGGCAGAATCGACGAAAAGGTGTCCTCGGGCTGTACCGTCAACCGGAACTGGCCGTCTTTGCTAACAAACTGGTGCGAATGAGTAAGATATCACCTGCATTGGGCATAAAGACATACCCTCAATATCATGATCGGAACGCTATGAATTTCGTGGTGGAGTGGATAAAGGTGATGCAGGTGGTAGGCTGTAGGGAGGAGGTTTGGGAGGGAAGCGCGACCGGAAGAAATAAGTAGACAAAGGCGAGGTGCAGTGGTGAACCTTGGTTGGTGTTGGTGATTGATTCGAGAAGGCGCCTGTAGCGGAGCGGACATGGATGACGCAGACGCGCTAGAAGGACGCTAGTCGAGCGCGGAACTGGACAGATATTCGGATGTATCGATAAGTGAGACAACAGCGACTCGCCCTCCCTCTTGGTCTTCACCTACCCCATATCTCACTACTGAGAACACCGTCGCTCCTTCATATTCTAACGTCAGCGCCTGCATCGCATCGCGAGCTTGTCATACCTCTTCACATTCCGCGCAAACAACCCACACACAACCCACACAACATTCACCATGTGGCCCTTCGACATGGTCGACTGGGTAATGCTTACCGTGCCCATTGCTTACATCGGTATCCTCGCCGGATCATTCACTGTCTTCACCAACCTCTACCGCAAGCGTCAAGCCGCCAACGCCGCATCCCTCGAACCCTGGTTCCCCACACATCTCCAGCGCAATGTCTACCTCTCCCTGCTACACATGGACGAACCCAAGGTGCCGGACAGCGTACTCAAGGCTGCGCTATTGCGTCGCGCAACAGAGGACATACATAGGATTGTTCAGATAAGAAACGCCAAGCAGGCGCTGCAGGCATTGCTGCAGAGGGGTAGCGTGGGCGATGATCTGTGGCAGCGATTCCAGCGGGCAGAGAAGGAGATCGAGGAGGAACTCAGGGATGTCGTCAACGAGGTGAGTCCTGAGAATCTAGATTGAAGTCAATTCTTTGAGCATGACTGACATTGAGACAGGCCAATGCCTTCGCACCGAACTGGGGCCAGACCATATTCCAATCCGCTTCAGAAATGGCACAGAACAACCACATCCGCGAGCGTCTCGGTGAGATCACAGCCAAGGCACCAGCGGAGAAGGAGTGGTGGGAGAACCGCAGGGCTGGCATCCAGTCCGAGTTCATGAAGGAGTTGGACGAGGAGAAGGCCAAGAGCGACGATGGTGTAATAGTGGAGAAGGCCATGGCATGAGCAGTGTAAAGCTGTGATGATGCGCGTTTATTTCTAGGGGTTGAACATGGGGTTACTGAAGATGTATAGGGTCATGGCCTTTGCAGCATTTGTGTAGCTATCCATTACGCCTGTGATATGTCTCAGCCGTTCGGTTTTGATGTATTCAGGAACATGGCGTCTGAGACATCTGACAGGCATACTGGACAGCTACACATCAGTAGCTACGTGAGCGAATCAACATATTGTCATCATCGCTTGCGGTCGAATTAGTGGACTTGAGCAGATGATCAACTCTGTCAAACTTGTATCAACTTGTTCAAATGCTAAATTGCAGTGCTATAAACGCCATTATCCCATAGAGTACAAGCCCCATACTGCTAACTAACAAAGACTGTCTGTCGTACACCAGATATACAATGCTCGATCTTCCGTCTCCCTCGTCTCCACCAGTTCATACATCTAGCAACCCCTTACTTCCTTGTGGGACCGCTGACACCGGCACCGATGACACTGGGCAGCTCCTCGGCACCCATGCTGTAGAGCATACCAATACCAGCAGAGATCAAGAAGGCCAGAGTGACACCGGCACCAACAAAGAGCCAGAACTCAACCGAGATGTCCTTCTTCTGGCAAGCGGGGCCGCCCCAGTAGGTGACCTTTCTCTGGCCCTCCATACCCTTTCCGTCTTTGTGCTCGACCGTAGCGGCGCAGGCGCATCCATAGCAGTCAACTGTCTCCTGACCGGGGCCGGATCCACGTCCCTTGTGGAGGAGCTTGCACTCGCCGTGGCTGGAGCAGTTGTGGGTCTGAGTCTCGCAAGCCGACATGGACTTGAAGCAGCTAGGAAGGATACCGCGAACAGGTCCCTTCTTGTTGTCGGCCGCAATGACGACGGGGAAGTCTTCCAGGTCAGGCACCTTGGAGACAGCAGGTACGGGCTGCGAGGAGAGGATTGCCTCGGGGTTCTGGCGGCGGGCCTCCTTGGAGGGGACATCGTAGGCGCCCCACGGTTGGGCAGCGCGCTTGGACTTGGACTTGGCTGAACGCGGCATCATGACGACAGTCGTGGAGAAGCCCGTCTCCTCGGCCTTCTTGTTGACGCTGCTCAGCACCTGGGCAATCTGCTCGGTCGATAGGTCGTCTTTCGTGCCGGTGGTCCAGATGTTGAGGTAGCCATTGTAAGCGTCCGACTTCTCGTTCGGTGGGAGCGCCGACTCAATGTCGAAGTTGGACGTGTATGTCCGTTGCTGGGGGTCTGAGAGTTCCGGCAGCG